CTCTCTCTCTCTCTCTCTCTCTCTCTCTCTCTCTCTCTCTCTCTCTCTCTCTCTCTCTCTCTCTCTCTCTCTCTCTCTCTCTCTCTCTCTCTCTCTCTCTCTCTCTCTCTCTCTCTCTCTCTCTCTCTCTCTCTCTCTCTCTCTCTGTCCTCCGGCCTCTGAATTAATAGCCGCGCTAGTGTTTTTCGCAGTGTGCCGGCCGTAGCGTTTTACGCGCGTATATGCGCATACACGCGTACCCGCGTATGCGCGTGCGAAAGCGCGTACCGACGTGACGCGCGTTAAAAATGCGCTTCGTTTTCTCACGAGACGCACCGAAAACGCCGTGCTTTATCGTTCCCTCGCTCGCTTGGTCGAGCAAACGAACGAGCATTCAGTTTGCGGCACTCGGCTTCACTCGCGAAGAATGATGCACGAGGCGTCGCAAAAAAACTGCACGATTCCTTCGAATCAGTAGACATTAAAAAAGTCAAATTGAAACAATTTCCGAGACTTAAATATCATGGTATCAGTAACTTTAAATTTATCATCGATCGAAAGTGAAAAAAAATTTAATGCAAATAGTTTCTTTTAAAATAGTACTTTTTGGGGAAAAGTAGTCTTTTATTGAATGAAGTAAGTGTAGAAATTAATAGATTGATATCATCTCGCATAATGCGGAGATTCGTAAGAAATTAGGCGAATAAAAGAATCCAGAAGCCGGAGCGCGTACGGTTCATTGGAAAAACGTAATATGCCAAAGGAGAGACAGGTGCTGGTCTCAGGAGAGGCTCACCCAAGAACCTGGCTATCCTTCATTAGCACTCTCGTTATCCGACCGATGTTTCTTTTGAGCGTAGCAAACGCACACATGCAGTGACTGCACCATCGTACGCGCAAGTCTTGCACCATAAGTTATGTCACGCAACACTCGAACGTAGACAGTTAACGAAAATAGGACTATCAAATGCGATTCTATTTGTTTAAAGAAGCTTATGTGATGCTCTTGCCTTATACGTCATTTTTAATTGAAAAATTGAAGAATATAAAAAAAATTATTGGATTTAAGAATTATTTCGAAGATTTCAAAATCGAGGGAATTCGGTATCCGAGGAACTCAGTTTCTAAGGAGGCAAGGATTCAAGATATCCAAGATTCGAGGAATTTATAGATTCCAGGCGATTAGAATTCAAAACATGTAGAATTTAGGGCACTTAGATGCAGGGTATCTGAAATTCATGTAATTCGTAGCGTTGACTTCCGACTGTCGAGCGAAACGACATCGTTAAGTGTCGCGTTAATCGAATCCTATGTATAATTATCCAATTCCCCTTTCTTGAGATCTCCTCGACAACGATAATAAGCCATCGGGCGCTTCCTTCACAAAACTGGCAGGGACATCGTGATCAGCAGCGATCGAGAAAAGGAAAAATAGAGCGTGCGAGCGAGAGAGAGAGAGAGAGAGAGAGAGAGAGAGAGAGAGAGAGAGAGAGAGAGAGAGAGAGAGA